ATTCGAAAAGCTGATTACTGGCATTTTACACAATAAAGGCATTCACTTACACCGTATTAAGATAATCACAGAAATGATAGCTGTCTAGAGCGAAATGTAGGTAGAGAAAATTGATAATTATATAACTTTTTGAAAAATATCAAATTTCCTTGATTGTTGGAACTAAGTATCAGGACCATATGATTAGAGGTTACAATTATCTTTGAGATTGACATCAAGAGATTTCACAGAGCAAAAAAAGGATAATATGAGAATTAAGTAGATCCATTCAAAGGCTAGTCCCAGACGAGAGCGGCTTCTCGTGTAAGCAAAGCATGCGCAATTTTCTGATGATGAAAGGTGCTCAAACGCTGCGCTTTCGCTCAAACGAAAACGATCGCTTTCGTCAGGAAAAATCCTATAAAAAACAAGGAGTATATCACGTTTATGTAGTCGAGACTTCAGACTGATATTGAACCCTCTCTAAAGTCTGTTTTGCCAATGAGCACGTTCAACAGTGCACTGCGTCCTTGCTGACTTTGTCTGAGAGCCTCATCCAAAAGCTCCTCAGTGTTCTGCACATTTTCCGCGGATACAATTGTACCCCAGCCCCCGAGAGCTACCGCTACATCGTCGTAACGGGTGCGCTAAAAATGTGTTCATTATGGTAGAGACAATGCGCAAAGCAGAGTAAGCACTCACGCTAAGATCCACCGCAACGTTGCTGTTGAACATGGGAATTTGTTCCCGCGCTATTTGAGTCCAACATGCATCGTTGCCTATCACACCAATGACTGGTAGTTTGTGTCGTGTGAATGTATCGTATTCCATGATAGAGTAGCCGGAGGAACCGTCTCCCCAGAGTATATAAACGGGACTATCAGGGTGAACAACCTAAATTATAAAGATCAAAGCAATTAGCCAGCAATAGGCAGCGTCCCCTCAAACTGGTGACTTCTGGTGTTTGACAACCTTGTGATGGCGGACCCTCCAGCTAATCTATCAGTGAAGTTTGGAGCGAAACAGCGCCTCTAGAAAGCCCAAAATCCACTCCAGAAGTCTTCCGAACCCCCCCTTTTCCAGGCTCCGCCCACTTTTTACATGCACTCGGAGCGAC